CCCGCCCCGCGATGGCCAGGCCCAGCTTAGCAGCATCCCTGGAGCCCCCTTTGGCTGGGAGAAGCTCAGGCTGAGCCTGCCCCAGGCATGGGGGGGCCCTGCTGCCCTGCCCAGACCCTCCTTCTGCCCCACTCCTCCCTGGTGCCTGCAGGGAGAGGCTGGCAGGGTGCTGGGGCCAGGTACTAGTCCCAGCTGGTATGTTCCTGGCTTTGACCTTGGCGCTCCCCTTTGGCTGGGAGAAGCTCAGGCTGAGCCTGCCCCAGGCATGGGGGGGCCCTGCTGCCCTGCCCAGACCCTCCTTCTGCCCCACTCCTCCCTGGTGCCTGCAGGGAGAGGCTGGCAGGGTGCTGGGGCCAGGTACTAGTCCCAGCTGGTATGTTCCTGGCTTTGACCTTGGCGCTTGGCCTGGCTGGCGCCCAGCCCCACTTGGGGACCCGCACAGCCCGCTGCCGGGCCCTTCGCCCTGCCGTGGCTCGTCCTGCCTCCTCTGGCATCCTGGGGTGCGCACAGCTTCTCCCTGTTATTGTGCTAATTGATATAGCGCGGTCGCTGCTGGGTGAGTCAGGGTGCCAGCTGGGGCGGGCATTCCGTCCCTCCGAGGGGATGCCGTCCCTCCCAGGGGATGCCGTCAGCGCTCCCCAATGGGGCAGGATGTGAGGAATGGGGTGCGTGCCCGGGCCCTGCGGGGGAATGCCGGCTCTCCTGGCCCCTCTCCAAAACAGGGTCCCCCCAGGGCTCCCCGCTCTGGAGGCTGGACTGCAGATGAGGTGCCTGTGGAGGCAGGGCGGGGAAGCCACCCCCGTGCTGCTCAGCATCCTCGCTGCTGTTCCCACGGGTGTATTTTTGCAGGAGTAGGCTGGACAGGGAGGATGCCAATGCCGAGGTGACCTGCGGGCACCACATGCCAATGAGTCCAGGAGCGTGCCTGGCTCCCTGCAGCAGGGTTTGGCAGTGGCCCTCCTGTGCCACTGGTGCTGCGGCAGCGGGAAGTGGCTCGTCTGCCCCGTCACCTGCAACACAGGATGGCCCCAGTGGGTCCCCATCTCTGGCAGGCTCCTGCGTAGGGTGGCGTGGACTCCATCTGTGTGCTGGTGCTGCGTCCCTCCCCATCCTGCTCGAAGGAGAGACTGGGCGTTCTCCAGCTTGTGTCCTTTACATTAAAAAGAAGCCATTTCAGACCTTTTATCTCTGTTTTGCTGCTGGCTTTCAGAGCCCGCTGCTTGAAATGTCTCTGTGTCCCCTTTTCTTCATCTCTCTTTTACCCCAGGGACCTGCTGGTCCTCCCCAGGGAGGTGATGGAGGAGAGTCACAGAGGGGGAGAGGATGCTCGGCACCTGGGCTGGCTCTGCCGCAGTGCCCTAGCTACTGGTTTTGGGTTGTTCCCTCTCAGTTATCGACCATGTCCTTGGTCTGGGGTGAGACGAGCTGGAGCCTATGCTCCTTGCTCTCCCCCAGACGTGGTTAGCCATCCCTTCCCTTCTCCCGGCAGCCTCTTCCCGCTGGGGCAGAGGCTGGGCAGGCAGAACCAGACGGGCAGGCAGCTGCGGGCAGAGCTGCCTGCACTCCGACGCCAGCGAGGGCAGGGCGTGCAAAGCCTGGTCCCGCCTCGCACGGCTTTCCCTGTGCTCCTGCCGCCTGAAAAGTAGGGCGCCAAACACCAATGCAGGCCGGGGCTTTGGGTATTCGGGGCTTGGAAACCATCGGTTGGTCTCCTGCGAGGGGCGAGCTGTGATTTTGGGGCCGGGAGGAGGTGTGCCGCCGGCGCAGCGGGAGATCCCTGCCGTCTCCGCAGCAGTTGTTGGGAGCGGGTCAGTTTTTGGGGCTGCAGAGGGGCTGAGCTGTGCTGACCGCATCCTCTGTCCCCGCAGAGTGGAGGCCTGCGGTGATGTTGGCGGCCATCGACTGTGCCAACGAGGCCAACCAGCAAGTGTGCGCTGATTTTGGGATAACTGGCTTCCCCACGCTGAAGGTAAGGGCTGTGTGTGCTGGGCACATGCCTGGTTTAACTGTGTTTTGCCTTTTGGCCTGTCCCTCTCTTGCTCAATCAGATTGACAGCGCTATTGCACCAAAATACTCCCTTTGGGGCTTTGCAGGCTGGAGCTATTGCGCCCTTCCCCAAAACATAGCTGCAGCCAGCGCAACTGCTGGGTGATGTAGCAACAAGGAGAGGGAAAACCAAAATGCCGCTTCATGTGAAGTGTAGAGGCCAGATCTCTCCTAGGACGAGAGAGAGTCTGAAACCTGAATTGGAAACACCTGGGAAAGGCTGCTGGAGGGCAGAGCGGTTGCAGGCGCCAGTTTTGGAGGAGGGTGCAGGGATACTGTGGGAGGCTGCATGGGGCTCTCCTGGGAGCCTCCTGTGGCAGCTGGTGAGGTGCTGTCCCTCCTCCTGGGCCCGTGCCTGGTCCCTTAGCTGTGTCAATACGCCGTTTCACAGTGTTTCCTACTGCAAACAAGAGCCTCGCTCCAACACAAGCAATAAAGCTGAAGCACTTCAGGTGCAGGCAGTGAAAGCCAGGATCACCTTGAGACAGAATGGAGGGGATAAGGGTTTCATCAGACATGCCCTCAGTTCCAGCTTACAGGCTCAGCCCAAGGTGGGATCAGATTTGGGGGTTTGCCAAGCAGGTTGGCTTGTGCTGCAGCCCTGCCTTGGGGTCTCACAGAGCACCCACTGCCTGAGCACCCACCACCTGTGTGACATTGACCGAACCATGTCGCAGGGCAGGGAGGCGTGCTGATATGGTGATGCCAAGAAGTCACTTGCTTCGCATCCCCTGTCCCCGCCAAACACCTTTTGCAAACAGCCTGCGCTCCCGGCCCAGCCTGCAAAGCAAACACCTGTCTGATGCAACCTGGTTTCATTGCTCTGGCTGTACCGTGGGCACTGGAGCCAGGATTAGGGACAAAACACTTTCTCCTGCTTTGTGAGAGCTCTGGAGCAGGGAGGCAGTGGTTCACAGGACCAGGAAGGTCCCAGCTGCCTCCCTGGGACCCCTGGAGACGCCTGCCCTGCTGCCTGCCAGCGCTCAGCCCTTAGCTGGACATGGTTCCCAGCCCACGTCTGCATCCCTCCCCTCTGGGGATGCCCCGCAAGATGGGGATGCAGTCCGGAGCTCCCTCTGTGGTGGCTGGTTCAGTTGGCATGCTGTAATGTCGTGGGGAAACTGAGGCAGAGCTGGTCCGGGGGGAGCCTCTGCCTGCTGGGCTGCACTGCCTCCCTGTCCCCCTCCAAACACTCTCACTCCAGTTTCCCCTTGTGTTTTTTTTTTCCCTTTCAGTTCTTCAGAGCTTTTAGCAAGAAGGCAGAGGATGGGATAAGGATTACCAGTGAGTATTCAGAGCCATAAGGGGTTTTTTTTACACTGGGTGTGAACGGCCCTGCTGCCTGCACCCCCTATGCATTGGGACCTCGGGGAGCCCAGAGGGCAGCTCAGAGCATCTCCCCTTGGCTCAGCCCATGGGACTGGCTTCCCCAGGACTGACCTCTTGGCATCCTGTCCCCCTGCAGATCCCAGCGCCACCATCGAGGACCTGCGCCATATCATTATCACCAACCTTGAGCAGAGCCAGGACGCCTGGCCACCCGCCTGTCCTCCGCTGGAGCCGGCGAGGTAGGGGTGGCGTGATGGGGGCGTGGTCTGGCAGCCTCCATCCCATAGAGAGCAGGTTTCTGGGGAAATCCTGGGCCAAAAATGAGCACGGAGCAGCCACTGCATCACCCACGTCCTAGGGAGATGCAGATGACCTGGCCAGGCTAGAGCCATTTACATGGCCCGGATGAGATGGGCCATGTTGTTGCATCTCCTAATGAACCTGCTCATCAGCCTTAATTAGAGCAAGCAGCACCTGGGCCGGGGACATGGCAGTGCCGTGCTATGCTGAGTGAGGCCGCTGCCGTTAGCAGCTTTTTCCTGCCCGGAGAAAGGGTTTTCTTGATTTAGTACAAACTTGTTGGCATCTGAGTTGTCTTTGCAGATGCAGGTGGTTGCTCCGCTGTCCCGGCGGGAAGCATTTGGCTTTCCCAAAGCGATGGTCGAGCCAGGCATGTGCTTCAGGTCTTCAGTGCCTCCATGTCCTAGCCAAAAAAACAACAGCCCTGGTTCAAGTTCATTGCTGTCTTTTCCCCTGGGCGAGCGTGCAGCTCCCTCCTGCCCTGCCCTGCCTGTGCTTTGTTTTCTGCCTCCTTGGCTGACCCTGGCGGGTTTTCTCAAAGCCTGCGAACCAGAGCAGAAAACTGGGCTGGAAACTTCAGCAGGGAGGAATTGCCTGAACCCACACTGGCATCCCCTGCCAAATCCCTGGGGACGAGGGACAAGCTCCTTTTGGGTGGGAGAGCAGAGCATCTGGCTGATGCCGAGGAACCTGCTGCCATTCTCTTCTCTCTTGCAGCGCGGAGGAGGTTTACAGCTTCTTCCAAAGGAACAAGGACCAGTACCTGGCGCTGATCTTCGAGAAGAGCGACTCCTTCGTGGGCAGAGAGGTGGGTACAGCTGCATTTATCCCCCATTTTGCCTTGAAGCCCGTGTCCCCGGTGCCAGATAATTGCCGGGTGCCTTTGGCGGTGAAGTCCTCTCCCAGCAGCCTCACTGGTCGGCTTGCATGCTGCTTTGCAGGCGTGAAGTGCTTTACAGGGTGCTAAATAGCCCTGCTGCATCCCCGGTGGGGCTGGGGGTCATGTCACCCCCCCGCCTGACCCTGGGCCTGCTGGGCTTGCAGGTGGCACTGGACATGCTGCAGTATGAGAACGTGGCAGTGAGGAGGGTGCTGAGCAGCGAGGAGGAGCTCGTGGAGAAGTTCGGCGTCACCACCTTCCCCTCTGGCTACCTGCTCCTCCGCAACGGCTCCTTCTTCCGCCTGCCTGTGTGAGTGTGGGACATGGCAGGGTGGGTCTGGGGACCCCAGTGCGGTGCCAGGCTTGTGCCCCATCAGATCTCCTTTCTAACTGTGGAAAAGCTCGTTAGGAAAGAGACAGTGGCTGGGTCGGGCACGCTGGCAGGGGGCTGCTGGTAGGCACTGAATGGGGCTGCCAGCCCTGCCTGGAGCTGGTAAAAGGCAAAATGGCTTGTGGCTGAGCCATCCCTCCGCCACATCTGCCTGGAGGTGGCACAGCGTAGCTGCCTGGGGCTCAGCTTTGCTCCAGCTTGTGTGCCAGGACACCCGCTGCCGGGGAGGTGGAGAGTATGGACCACCCCGCACTTATTCCCCAGGTCTGAGTTGCCAGTCTGGCTAAGCCTTTGATCTCCTTTGCTTCCTCCCTGGGGCCACGGCCTGTTTGGGAGGGAAGAGGGTCTTGCTCACGGCTTCTCCATCCTTGCAGGCACGTGGAGGCACGCTCCTTCTACACCTACTACCTGCGCACACTCTCAGGCATCACCCGCGGCTCTTACAAGCTGAACACAACCATCAGCACTTCCAACGAGACCAACGCATCCCAGCCGAAGCGTGCTGACCGGTCAGACTAACCCCCTTCATCATTTTGGGGCTGCAGGAGGCCAGGGCTGGTGTGGGGAGGAGGTGCCATGGCCATGGGTGGGCAATGGGCTGGGACTGTGCCTTTCTCCTGGGAAAAACCCCGAATCATGGCTGGGTCCTTGGGGGTGCAGGTTAACGGGCTGATGAACAATCGTGTTGCACTGCCCTCCCCAGCTCCAAGGTGTACATGGCCGACCTGGAGTCCACACTGCACTACTCGCTGCGGGTGGAGGCTGCCCGTGCTGCCGCGTTGTCAGGAGCCCAGCTGGCCGCCTTCAAATGCTACGTGGCCACGCTGGTGAAGGTGAGGAGCTTTCGGTGTTGATAGAGGAACTGTCCGCACCTCCCCGTAGCTATTTATAACGTGAAACGCAAATGCAGGGTGCAGACCGTGTCCCAGCACTCGCCGGTAGCGGAGCGTGGTGGTCTCCGATGCGAGCCCTGCTTCCCAGTGCTCAGCACAGCGCAGGGCCGTCCCCGTCCCCACGGAGCTCCAAACCCAGCCCAGAGTCCCGATGGGAGCTGGCGGCCGAAAGCAGGTGCCAGAGTGTTTCAGACGAGACCTGGGGTGCAGGTATTGGTGGGCAGAGCAGGCTTGGTACTTGCAGGAGGTGTTGTGTTGAGGCAGTAGGTCTTTCCAAAAGAGACGTTGTCACCCACTGGGGTGGCAGAGATGATCAGAGGGGTTTGTAACTCTGATCGCCTGACTTGGATGCTTGTCTCAGGGAGCTGATCTCTGCGGGCTCCTTTGATAGCTTTTCCTTTCCCTTTCCTCCGGGAAAGGGATTCCTACTCTGAGTCAGGCTCTGGAAGAGCCTAATTTAAAGTCCTTTTTCTTCTCTGTTGGGCTTGGTGAAATTGAAGTGTGTAGGAGCTTTGAGCCAGCAGAAGCAGGGCAGCTTAATTTCCTGGTGCGATGGAGCTCTGTATTTGGCTGAGTTTCCACCACTGGGGTTGCAGGAGCCCTGTCCCCATCTCCGTCCCTGTCCCAGCCCGAGATCCTTGGCAGACCTTCACCTGGCCATGCCTGCCTTCTTTGCTCCCTCCTTTGTCATCCAGGGTCTCACGCTCAGTTTGGACCTTGCATAGCCTTCGCTGAGTGCAAGACACCCCCTGCTCCCACCCCTGCCTGCTCTCCCCAGCAAAGAGCTCCAAACGCGAGGCACTGGTGCAATGAGTCTTAAGTCCTCAGCTCAGAGCTTCATGTGGCTTTTCCTCTGCTTGCCCCCAGCTATCGCCCTCGCTATTTCTCCCTTTAATGAGAACCACAGGGTTAGGGAAATAAATCCCCCATCACACCAGCTCCCTGGCCAAGGGTACGAGCTTGCTGGGGTGGTGGGGAGCAGCAGTGGTTTTATTTGATCAGCTTTTAATTCTTCCTGCAAACCTTCCCTTCGCTGTCCAAAGATGAGCCGTAGCACTGGACCCGACAAGGAGGCGAAGCTGCGTCCCTGCCGTGGGCAGGAGGCACCGGGACAACGGGTGGTGGGTGCCGGTGCTTCCCCAAGGATGCTGAGCCTGCGCTGCCATTGCCGCGCTCATCCACAGGACGGAGCAGCATCCCCAGGATTGCTGCCAGCCCGGCAGGGCTCAGGCTGGGGGAGCTCAGCCAACAGGTCCCAGCCTTAACTGTTGCATTCCCAAGAGGTGTTTAAGGCAAGGAGAGGGGAAAAATCCTAACGTGGAAAGAAGTGGTGCCTGGAAAGTACGGAATCGTGTGGCAAAGCTTCCTGCCAAAGGAGCTGCGTTTTGCAGCAGAAACGGCAGGTTGCAGATGAATTCCCCTGCGAATTTGGGACTTTCCATGTGATTCCCCACAGGCCTAGGGAGAACAGCTCAGACTTAGCAAAACGCTCATTCCTTTCGCTTCCCTGTCACTTTTCCTGTGTGCCGCTGGTCTCATCCTCCCTGTGGGTCGGTCCCTCTATCTGTCCATTGGTGGCGCACGCTGGCGGGCTGCCCCCTCTCCCTGGAGCGCTTGTGGTTTTAAAGTGCTGCTGCTAATCAGCTTTGCGCCGACTTATGGTCAGAGTGGCTTTTTGCCTCCCTCAGATGGGGCCAAGGTTTGGAGCCTGAACACGCACACAGGGGCCTCGCCACCATGGGGGGGACACGCTGCGGCCCCCAGCCCCTTGGGGCCAGGCACCGAAACCTTGCCAGGACTGCACTGCCTTCTGGCACCTGCTGCCATAGAGGATGCTGGTGCTGCCCAGTGCCCGTCCCGGTGAGCCAGGGGTGCCAGCAGGCTGCCCCGCTGCTCCCGGGTTGGGTCTGAGTTTCCTCACTCCTATCTCCCCTCTGCAGTACTTCCCTGGGCGCCCCTGCGTGCAGACCTACCTGCAGTCCCTGGACGGCTGGCTGAGGAACTGGACGGAGCCCGAGCTGCCCCGCAGCATCTTGAAGGAGGCCATGAAGAATAACAGAGAAGTAAGGCGCCTGTGGGGACCCCGGGCCCCGCTCTCCTCTCCTCACCTCACCCCTGCCCCTTTCCCCCCACCTGGCATTATCTGCCAGCTCCATCACACCATGTCTGTCTGTCCTCCAGGCCTCCCACCCCACCATGCTCCCCACTAATGTGACCTGGGTGGGCTGCCAGGGCAGCGAACCCCACTTCCGCGGCTACCCCTGCGGGCTCTGGACTGTCTTCCACCTGCTGACCGTCCAGGCTGCCCAGAGCGGCCCTGACAAAGGTATCGGCGTCCCCGGGGGGTTTGGGTCTCAGAGAGGGGGTGTCCGGACAGGTTGTGGGACGGGCAGGGATACTGCGTGCAGGCAAAGGCTTGTCTTGCCTCGAGGTAGGTCTGCGGGGAGGGCAAGAGCCACAGAGTTGGGTGCGGGGCTGCCACCTTGGCCATGGGACCGTGGCGGTGGCACTGCGGGGTCTGGACTTGCCCTCCCATCCCCCCCTATCCTCTGCCTCCCCCCAGAGCTGCCGCTGGAAGTGCTGAGCACCATGCGCTGCTACGTCCGGCATTTCTTTGGCTGCCAGGAGTGCGCCCAGCACTTCGAGGCCATGGCGGCTGAGTCCATGGACCAGGTGGCGGGCCGGGAGGAGGCTGTCCTCTGGCTCTGGTCCCACCACAACGAGGTCAATGCTCGCCTGGCAGGTAAGGGGGGGGCTGCGGGGAGGGGAGCCAGGGTGGCTTCCCAAGGGAAAAGGGGAAATGAGGTGGAGGAGCATCCCTCCTCCTGGATGGAGCCAGCACATGGCTGCATTAGGGTGCAGTGTTGGGGACATCCTGTTGTCATCATCCCCCATCACAGGGGACAGCAGCTGGTCACGCAGCATCAGACAGCCCCGGAGATGCAGTTGGGTCTTACACGCTCCCTGCAGGGAGCTTCCCAAAGCCACCACGTGCCCTTGGAGGACCCCTCCTCCTGAGATGGCTCCTCCAAATGTCCCCGTCCCCATCACCATCTCCAGCTGCTGGATGCTCCAGGGTGTTTATACCAGTACAGGGGGAGGGCTGCCTCACATGTCCCCTCTTAACACCCTCGCTGGCTCTGGGCCCTGCAGGAAGTGACACAGAGGACCCCAAGTTCCCCAAGCTGCAGTGGCCACCGCCGGACATGTGTCCCCAGTGCCACAAGGAGGAGAGGGGGGTGCATGCCTGGGACGAGCCGGCCGTGCTCACCTTCCTCAAGGTGCACTTCTCCGCAACCAACATCTACCTGGACTATGCCGAGGCTGACCATATCTCCACGGCTGGGGAGGGGACAGGCGCCAGGCTGGGCACTGAGGGCCTGCGAGGGGAGAGGGAGAAGGAGGAAGAAGAGGAGGAAAAGGAGACGGAGGGCGAAACGAGAGCTCCAGGGCGACCGGGCTCCCCTGAGCCACGGCGCCCCAGCATTGTGCGGCTGAACCCCAAGCTGCGGGAGGTGGGCGAGGACATCGTGGACCTGGACTCCTTCAGTGAGCAGCACTTCAAGAGCCAGGCGCTGCGAGCAGCAGCCGGCCGGCGCCGGCGGCTCAGCAAGCGGGACACCATCGCCCTGCCCCGGGATGCCGGGATGGGCCGGGAGCGCCGGCGGGCTCCCGTTGTCCTGGTCCAGGAGGAGGAGGCCGGGGAGGGTGTGCGGAGGAGCCCCTGGCTGCGGGTGCTCGGCTTGGGCTTCTCCCGCCTGGACATCAGCCTCTGTGTTGCCCTCTACTTCCTCTCCTCCATGTGCCTCCTGGGCATGTACACCTTCTTCCGCCTCCGCACTCGTGCCCGGAAAGGCCGCCCGGGCTTCCCCGTGGCCTGAAAGAGGTCGCGGAGAGTCGGGGGCTGCTCCCAGGGTGGGTGAGCTGCTGAGCTGGGGCACCCCTAGGACAGCATTTTGTCCCCCAGCGGGAAAGTGTTTGGTGCATCCCCCCCCCCAGGAGCTGTCCCGCTTGCAGCAGTCACCTCACACAGGGTGGGGGGCGGAGGGTGGAGGGCTTTTTTGGGGGGGAAGGAGGTGTCGGAGCATCCCCCTTTTAGGTCGTGGTGCCACGTTTTTGGGTGCGTGGGAGCTGGGACGCCAACAGCAGTTTGTGTCTCGGCACCCAGCTGCCCTCGGGAGCTCCCCGGTGCTGGCTTGGTTTCAAACTGGGAAGCCCAGTCCTATGCTGAGGAGCAGTCCTTTGGGGTCAAACCACTAGTGGGGCCAGGAAGGTGGGGGTTTAGTCCCCCAAAAAGCTGGGCGGGGGGTAGCAGTTGTGGGTTCAGCTGCATTTGTGTGTCCCCCGCTTTGAGACGTGGACTGGGCCCTCCTGCCTTTCCTTGCCCCCTCCCCACGCTGTTGCTCTCTGCTTGTCTTAGTGGAATAAATTATTTTTGCCGACGCCAGCCTTGCTGTGTCGGCTGGGCCCTGCTGCGCGAGCACACTGGGGCAGCACCTCCCCTCCCTGCCATCCCCCCACCGCTGGCTGTCCCCACTCCGGCCTGCCCCATCACCCCAGGAAGAGCACTGGCTTGGTTTAAATCCTTTAAATATTTTTAATTGTTATTATTGTACATTTTCTCCTGCTTTTTGCTTCTGGATGCACCTGTGGCCAGCTGCCCTCCACACAGCTGATGTGTCTCAATGGTTGGGGTGGCTTGTGGTTTGTCCTCAAGTGGGGTGATTGGGAGGGAGCCTGGGGGGGGGCAGGAAGCTGCCAGAAAAAAGTTGGCACAAGCCATGGAGCTGCAGTTCGGTGCTGGCCGTGTCTGTGGTCCAGAGCAGGGGGACACACGCGAGGATCCCTGCATCTGCTTGGGGACTGGGACCTCCGTGGGCGTGGGCCAACTGCGCCTGTCCCCGATTCTCTCTGCCCTTTTATCCTTGTTAGGAATCATTAAGGAAAATGGTTGTTTTCTAGAGCCAGGGTCGGGGCCATCTGCTCTCCCGGTGCTGCCTAAATCCCCCTGTAACAAATTCATTGGGATTACGCTGCCCTCCCCTAATCCCGGCCCTTCCCCCTGCACGGGGGATTTAAAAGGATTAGAGCCCGGCCGATAATAAACTTTATTAAGGGGGAGGGGGGGTGTCAATCCGATTTGGAGCCTTTTCTTTATATCTTCACTTTGCCCAGGTGGGAGGTGAGGGCTGGCGGGCTGGGGAAGGAGGGCAGCTGGCTCTGCTGCTGCCCAGGCACCGGGAGCTCTGGCTCCTCTGGCCCTTCCTCTCTCACCTGCCCTTGAAATAAATTTTCTTGCTCCGTCTTTCCTTCTTCTTTGGTGTCTGTGCATGGTCACACCTCCATGGGACATGGGGCTGGCACCTCTGCCCTGCCACCGCTGGCCCACTTGGTCTTGGCCATATCTCTTAGCTGGGTCCTCAGTGGCCTTATCCTGGCATGGAGGGGGGCTGCATCCCCCTAGCCAGGTGCCAGTCCTGTCCACCGCCGGGTGATGGATAGGGAAGGTGTCATCGCTGCAGCCCTGCTGCCTCCTTCTCCTTGATTTCCCTGGGGGGCTTACCCCCAACATCAATAACCCCCCGTGCACCCCCTCCCCACCAGCTGCTCACCTGCGTGGGACCGAGGGCTTGTGATGAGGGGCTGCCCGCGGTTATCCCCAGCCCCAAAAGATCTTGGTGGGGCTGCTGAAACCAGGGACAGGCTGGGGGATGTATTAGGGGGATACAGTAGGTGGGTGCATTGAGGGGATGCAGCAGGAGGGTGCAGGGGATTAGTGCTGGGGAGGTGGGTGCTGGGGCAGGGGAGGAGGGAGCTGCTGGAAGGGGGTTAGCAGGCAGCCGTGGGCAGGGCTGCCCAGATTAGCATCCCTGACAGGCCCGCCGGGGAGATTTACAGGGCTGAGGAGCTAAAGCTGCCGTGCACGCAGGAAAAAGAGAGTCCAGTAAATAGACTTCTGTAATCCTGTTTGGTGCAGTCCCGATCCTCCTGGCCCCAGCTCTCCCGGGCTGCGGCACCGGAGTGTGTCCCCCTCAGCATCTGGAGAGCCCCAGTGCAGGGCACGAGTGGGCTGGTGCAGGCAGCCGTGCAGGCAGGAGGCTGCTGCAGGGCTCAATGCTGCCTGGGGGAGTGTCCCCCACACTGTCCCTCCTGGGATGGTGACTTTGGGGCAGGCCCCCACTCGAGCCCTGGCACAGGGGTAGCATCAAACTGTGCCACGGCCACACTCACGGGTGGGACAGGCTGTACTGGGGAGGGCCGACCCCAAGCCCCCCAAGGTGCCCTCCCCAATGGGGGTTACCCCTTCCCAGCACTGCTGCGAGCCAGGGTGTCCCTGGGGCTAATTACCCAAATGGCCACAGGCTGGCGCGAGGCGGCTGCTATTCCCTAATACAATTTACCCTCAAGTGCAATTTAATTTTCCGCGAGGCTAGTGGCCGGCCCCCTGCGCCTCCCGCACACCCAGCCACCTTCCCACCCCTTCGGCACTCATTCTCTCCCGCCTCGCCCCTCTTCCCTTTCCCTCCTCGGCACGGGCAAGAGCCTTTCTCCACCAGCATCCCCCCTCCACTCGCGCTTGGGCCATAAAATCACCAGGGGTTTGCTTAACGTCGATTAATTTTCAATTACAATTAGCAACGCCCCGTTCGGCAGTGCCTGCAAGGGGAGAGGCTTTCTCCGGCCACTGGTGAGTACCCGGGTCTCGCCGTGCTTGTCCTCACTCCAGGCCACCCCTGGCAATAGGGGTGTATGTGGGATGGGGTCACAGGTAATTATTGGCGTCATTAAGAAGTGGGGAGCAGTGGGGGCTGCTGGTGGGCTGCGCACATGGGGGCTTGGGGTGCCGCGGCTGGTGCTGG